AAACCATTTCAGGTGACTACCTCTTGAAGCTCATGGAGAGAATGCCAAGAGTGTGCAAAGCAGTAATCAGAGCAAAGGGTGGCTATTTTGAAGAAACTAGAATATAAAACATGTTTTCAGTTATTTCACCTTTTTTTGTTAAGTACATAACTCCACATGTGTTCATTCATAGTTTTGATGCCTTCAGTGAGAATCTACAATGTAAATAGTCATGAAAATAAAGAAAACGCATTGAATGAGGAGGTGTGTCCAAACTTTTGGCCTGTACTGTATATATTTATTTAAATCTATGTACCTGCTTAACTTCCTGTTAAATTTACCTGCTGTCACAAACACGGTTAAAGAAGAACACCTGAATGAAAACAGGAAGTAAAGTGTTTCCTGGGGACTGTAAAAAGTGATGTACACATTGACCTCACTCAGAGCGGCCGTCAGTTTGAAAACAAAATGAAAAGGTGAAAACATGAGGCGGTGGCTGGAGACATGATGTCATGAGGTGATCTGACAGCGCTCGGCTCTTTTCTGTGAGCGACCTCTGATCAGTCTGGACTTTGGAGCTTCAGCTTGTTTGCAGATTTCACACAGAACACAGACGAGTAGTCATGATGAAGGGCTCTCCTCCTCCTGCTCCTCCTGTTCCTCCGCTTCTTCTTACTCTCGTTCTCCTCTTCCTCCTCCATCCCAACGCTCCAGCTGATGGCGGCCATGTTCTGGTGTTCCCAGGCGAGTACAGCCACTGGTTGAACATGCGGAGCATCATGGAAGAGCTAGTGAGGAGGAACCACTCTGTCACCATTTTAGTTTCAGACGCCTCGCCATCAGTCGACTACAACAACCGCCGCGATGCAGCCAAGTTCAACTTCCTGGTTTACAAGGTAACATCCAGTTCAGACGTCACATGATGTGATTTTTACCGACAGCCACATTCAGTTTCTCTTCTTGACTTCCTACTGAGACAAAAAATAAGTTGTCTCGAGATGTGATGTCACCGAGCTGTGCGGTCAGTTGTTGGCAGGTAACCCCTGAACGCTTTACTGGGGCCCGTGTGACACATGAAGAAGAACCAGAGAGACATCAGTTCTGATGTCAGACATCAGAAACACAGAAACAACTGAACATCTGTGACAGGAAGTTCTCATGTCCGACATGTTTCAATGTTTTCTGTTTCAAATGTTTTGATTACGACTCAGCAGATGGTTGGATGCTTGTTTGTTTTTTTCTCCAGGTCCCATTCAGCAGAGCCGAGTTTCACAGCCTCACAAAGGACTTCATCCACTTCTCTATGTACGAGTCTCATGTCTCGTCTTCGCTGCAGAACTTTCTGAAGGTTGTTGATTTCATGCGCCGGTCGCTCGTCTTCGGGAAGCAGCAGTGTGACTCCATGTTGAAGAGCGAGCAGCTGATGGCGACTCTGAGGACTGCCGCATTTGACGCCGTCCTGCTGGACCCGATGGTGATGTGTGGCGACCTGGTGGCTGATGTGCTCAGCCTGCCGCTCATCATCTCGCTGCGCTTCTCATTCGGCAGCGTCCTGGAGCGGCATTGCGGCCACGCGCCAGCGCCGCCCTCCTACGTCCCGGTGGCTCCGCTACCATACAGCGACCGCATGACATTTGGGGAGAGGCTGATCAACACCATGACATACATGATGGTGTCAGCAGTGTCTGAGCTGTTCATGGGACTGATTGATAACTACTACAGCGAAGTCAAAGGTTAGAGTTCCATTCTTCAATACTCAATCAGTTGTATTGATCTCCTCAGTTACTCGTCTCAGTTACTCGTCTGGTATGGAGGCCCAGAAGGAACAAACTGTTCCACTTCCTGTAAGACCGAGTGTCCACTTCCTGTAACACTGAGTGTCCACTTCCTGTGATCTTAAAGTCAAAATGTGAAAACGAACAAACAAAAACATCAAAATAAAAAATGATAATTAAAAATCCTGAGAAAATAAAACCTGTCCTTTCAGAATAAAAGCCTGATGTGCTGTTTCCTGTGTGGACAGGAAGTCCCAGCAGCATCTGCAGGACTCTGGGGAATGCCGACATTTGGCTCATCAGGACCTTCTGGGACCTGGAGACGCCGCGACCGACCCCGCCCAACTTCAAACATGTGGGCGGTCTGCAATGTAAACCAGCCAATCAGCTGCCAGAGGCATGAACTGACAGGAAGATTTATTTTGAAATTCTACAAATCTTCAGACATGTATGGTGACGATAGCAATGATGAAGATAGTGAGGATGATGTAACGATGATGTCACATCTTCCAGGACCTGGAGGCGTTTGTGCAGAGTTCGGGTGATGCCGGTGTGGTGGTGGTTTCCTTCGGCTCCATGGTAACCAACCTGACGACAGAGCGTGCTGATGTCATCGCTGCTGCCTTGGGACGAATTCCACAGAAGGTCAGAAGCTCCACCCACATACAGAGAGAGAAATATGGGTTCAGGGTTGTCAGGAAAACTGAGCATCTGATGGGCTGATCAATCGGTGGGGGAAAGTAACTGAGTACTTCAGATACTTTACTGCATCACTTTATACTCGAACTGAACCAAGACCTGTGATGTCAGGACTGGTTCTTACTGGTGGCATCTTGGCAGCATCATGGTGGCATCATGGTGGCATCGTAGCGGCATCATGACAGCATCATGATGGTATCATGGTGGCATCATGATGGCATGATGGCAGCATCTTGGCAGCATCATGGCAGCCACCTGACACCTTCCACCTTCCACCTGACACTTGACACCTTCCACCTGACACTTTCCACTTGACACCTTCCACCTGACACTTTCCACTTGACACCTTCCACCTGACACTTGTTTTATTTTCAGGTCATTTGGAGGTTCAGAGGAGAAACTCCGAAGACACTGTCAGCAAACACTGAGCTGTTTGATTGGATCCCTCAGAACGACCTGCTGGGTGCAAACACACACACACACACACACACACACATACACACACAGCAGCCTGTTCTCATTCCAACTTCCTAAAATTCGCCGCTTTGTCAGATTTCTGCCTCAAACTCCAACGCCAGACGTCACCTGTCGTGGCAGTATGATACACAGACGGGCGCTGTCAGGTTGGAATGATCTGAACACGTTTACACGGTTCCCTCTCAGGTCACCCGAAGACGAGAGCGTTCGTGACACACGGCGGCACCAATGGTCTGTATGAAGCTGTGTATCACGCCGTGCCGCTGGTTGGAGTCCCACTGTTCGCAGATCAGCCCAATAATCTCGCCCATTTCAGCCGCCGCGGCGCTGCCATCGTCCTGGACTTCAACCACCTGACATCTGACAAGCTGACAGAGGCGCTGCATGCTGTCATCAACGAGCCGAGGTGAGGATGACATCACAGGAAGTTTGAGTTCATGATTATTTCCTGACATTTCTTTTCAAAATAAGAGCCCTGACTTCCTGCTGAATCAGCTCCTTCAAGATAAAAGCATATTAACATTTATTAATAAAACACCAGTGTGACCATTTTTTACCCCCATGATGCTCAGCTACAGGTCCAGCATGCAGCATCTGTCAGTGCTGCACCACGACCGCGCGGTGGCGCCGCTGAGCACTGCTGTCTTCTGGGTGGAGTTTGTGATGCGACACGGCGGAGCGCGACACCTGCGGCTGGCGTCACATGACCTGAACTGGTTCCAGTATCACAGCGTGGACACCTTTGCCGCCCTGCTGGTCACTATGACGACTGCTGCCGTCATCTGCTGGGAGGGCGTCTGGTGCTTCCTGCACCACTGCAGCAGACATCGAATCAGAGAAAAGAACGACTGACAACACATTTTCACGTTTCAATAATAAAATGAATCAATAATCGAAGAAGATTGAACTGAATTTTAATTTTGTTCATTTAAATAAAGTTTAAAGATTGTATTTAAAATAAAAGTTCAAACATGACGTTTGTTTCGTTCATCAGCACAGAACATGCTCAGAAGGAATCTGATTACCTTCAGGTGTGATCTGATTACCCTCAGTTGTAATCTGATTACCTTCGGCTGCAATCTGATTACCTTCAGATGTGATCTGATTACCCTTTTACAGTAATCTGATTACCTTCAGGAGTATTCAGATTAGCAGAATCAGTAATCTGATTACCATTTGAAGTAATCTGCTGCTCTGCCAGTCTATCTTGCTATTTGTTGTTGTCTGTTTGTATGTTTGTTGTTTGTTGCATTGCTTGTTTTGTTTTTGCCGATGTTGCATTGTCCGTTCTGCTGCATGTGTGCTCTATTTTTGTTGCTGCTATGCTGCGTGATGCTGCTCTCTGTTAGCCACTTTATGCTGTTTGTCCCTTATGTGGTGCACGTTGTATGTGTTGCTGTTTCTTTTATCTTTTGATACCCCTCTAATCCCTGCCCCCTTCTCCTCAAGAGGCTCTTGCCTTTTGCCAGGCCGCCATTGTAAATAAGAATTTGTTCTTAATGACTTGCCTGGTTAAATAAAGGTTAAATAAATTTTTTTTTTAAAAAATCTGATTATCCCAAATCTTCAGTTAAGAGGCCTGTTCTCTTTAACCAGCCCGGTGATGTTGACACGCTGACGGATAAAGGCCTGTCTCAAATATAAGCCTGTCTCAATTAAAGGCCTGTCTCAAATACATTTGTTATAGATCATTATTCACGTCGGCGGCAATGACACCCCGTTACGCCAATTGGAGGTCACTAAAATTAATATTGCCTCAGTGTGTGAATACGCTAAAACTATGTCGGACTCCATAGTTTTCTCTGGACCCCGCCCAAATCTGACCACTGATGACATGTTTAGCTGCATGTCATCATTTAATCGCTGGCTGTCCAGGTGGTGTCCAGCAAACAATGTGGGTTTCATTAATAATTTGCAAACTTTTGGCATTCATCCCACTTTGGATGGAGCTGCTCTCATATCTAGAAACCTGGCAAAGATTATTAGTAATTCAAAAACCTGACAATCCAGAGTTGAGATCAGGCGCCTCATTTATAAAGGCTGCATACACACAAAAGAAGGCGTACGCCACTCTTAAGCAAAGTTTGGGATTTATAAAAAACAAACTTGAAGGGAGAATGTGCGGTCCACCACGCAAACTCTGACCCTGCCGTACGCACATAAACTGGAGAAATGAGAAACTGCAACTCCGATGGCAGAAGGACGAAACGTCCTTCTGATACTATTGTGTGTAAAATAAATCAAAAATATGACCTCTCACAGATGATATGAAGAGGTAATTTGGAAAAAATAAATAAAGCCGTTTTTACAGTACATAAACTCCTGTGTGATTAATACTCACGTAATACATGATTCAGGATGATAAATAGTTTAGTTTATTTACTTTATTAATCCCCCTGAGAGTAAATTCAATGTTTTCACTCTTGCTAAATAAAGACAAAGATAATTTGTCGTTATCTCATACACACCTGTATCTCGTCAGACAATTAAGATATTAAGATATAAAAAGGCACACACTCACAATGCGTAAAGACACACAATGGCTTATTTGGCACTGCTCGAGGATGCAGCAGATGGGAGACTTTGGGGGGAGCGGCTCTTCAGGGACCAGCAAGATGCATTGGCCCATGATGACGAGTGGCTCATGAGCCGGTTTCAACTGGCACGCGCTGTGATCCTGGACCTCTGTGATGCGTTGGGCCCGGCACTACAGAGGAGCACCCACAGGAACCACGCCGTGCCAGTCCCTCTGCAGGTGGTAACAACACTCGGTTTCCTGGCAACTGGCACCTTCCAGAGGGAACTTGCTGACAGGTCGGGGATATCCCAGCCTACTGTACCTTCGGCCGCATTATGCCAGACGTGTTAGGAGGTATCATTGGTTTGTCACAATGGTACATGGCTGGCTTGTAGGTAAGGATTGTTCATGTTGAAATATTGCAATTACACTCTACTGCAGTACCTAATTCACCATTCTCTCACCTTGCAGGTGACAGTGGACGATGGCTGCTTACCCCGTTTCAAAACCCACAGAGCGCAGAGGAACGCCGTTACAACGTGCATCACAGCCAGACGCGTGTTGCAAAGGAAGGTGGCGGTGCCTCGATGCCACAGGAGGGCGTTTGTCTTACACACCTGCAAAGGTGTGTAAGGATTGTGTATTATTTCCATTTCCTAGAGAGACTGTTTAGATCTTTTCAATTAAAAAAAGACATCATCAAAATGTTAGGCTGTTAAACCGTTGCATAAAACTATTTTTGTCCTGCAGGTGTGTAAGACTGTGAGGGCTTGTGCTGTGCTACACAACATGGCACAGAGGGAGAATGTGCCACCACCACCACCTGAGGCCAATGTCATCCCTGACCCCGACACCCACCCCCCCGTGTGTGAGCAAAATGCTGCTGCTGTNCCCCCCCCCCCCCCCCCCCCGTGTGTGAGCAAAATGCTGCTGCTGTGCGCCAGCGTCTGGAGGTGATGCAACGCATATAACAAACACACAAGAGATAGAGAAATTATTTTTTATTTACCAACTGTTTAAGTGTGTCATTTACGGCTGTTAAGACAGTTTTGATGTCCCGCAACTCGTTGGCCTCCTCGTTAACTGCAGTGATTGTGTCCCTCTGCACTTGCAGGACTGCATCTGTCAGGACACGGCCGCTGCGGGAGGACGCACAAGGTGCTGTGGCATCTCCGGCCTCTCCAGCCACAGGTGGAGCACCACTGCTGGAACACTCGGGGGTGGCAAAGCCAAATTATTCAACTTTAAATAAATTCAACTTTTGTGAATGACATCTCAGTTGTGTTTGTACTGTACATGTTCATTTTATTGCAATTTCAAACAAGACATACACTTACCTGCATCATCCGGTGCTTCTGGCACATTTGGTGCTTCTGGCGCATCTATGTCCACCTCCGCCTCTGTCACCACGCCACTTAAGAGGGACTCGCCGATTATCCCTGCTAGCTTCTCATCTGTGGGGGTGAGCTCCGGTGTCCCCTTTCCCCCACCAGTCGCACATACACTTCTTTTGTGTAGGGCCAGGGGCTTTTTTGCCTCCACTTTTATGTCTGACCATTTCTTCTTAATTTTGGCCGCAGTATGTCCCTCTGAGGCAACGTTGTTGACAGCATCTGCCACATGCTGCCACTCTTCCGCCTTTTTGGCATTAGTAATGCCCACACTGTGCCCAAGAAACAACACAGTTTTTATTTTTTCCACCTCATCTACAAGAATTTCCACTTCACATTGCGTGAAACTTCGTTTCTTTGCTGTTTTTGCTCTTGGGCCATCTTCAGTCTCGGTATGAATGAATATGTATCAAGGGTGTTCCCCCGACCTTTTATAGCCACATATAGGCGGGGCAAGGCACTCCCTCAGGTGCGCCAACTTTAGAGTTGATTGTGATTTATAACTGGAAACAGGCGTAGGACGTGCGTGCACACTGTGTTATATATCAGGTAGTTTTTGTGCGCACACATTTCCTGTGTTTCCTCCGTACGCCATTTGTAGTGATCTTTCCTACGCACAGTTTTAAAAATGAGGCCCCTGGACTCAGAGTCAAAGTCTTACATGCTTCTCTGAGCTTTTAGTGCAGTTACCCACCCATAGTTTTACACAAACGGTGTCTGTCCCCCGACCACCTAAATTATTTAAATCTAAAATTAAACAAAGAGGAGTTGTGCATAACAACCTCATAAAAATTAAAACCTCTTCTGTGACAGAAAGACAAAACAGGAGAATTAAATGCGGACTGTTAAATATCAGGTCTCTATCGTCTAAAGCAGTGTTAGTAAACGAATTAATATCAGATAATCATATTGATTTACTCAGTCTCACTGAAACCTGGCTGTGTCAAGATGAATATGTTAGTCTAAATGAGTCCACTCCTCCCAGTCATAATAATACCCACATTCCTCGAGGCAGCGGCCGAGGAGGGGGAGTTGCAGCCATTTTTAACTCTAGTCTGTTAATCAGCCCTAAACCTAAACTAGATTATAATTCATTTGAAAGCCTCGTTCTTAGTGTTTTACATCCGACCTGGAAAACCTCGCAGCCACTTTTATTTGTTATAGTGTACCGTGCTCCTGGCCCGTATTCTGAATTTGTATCTGAATTCTCAGAGTTTTTATCCAGTTTAGTTCTTAAATCAGATAAAGTTATTATTGTAGGCGATTTTAACATTCATGTCGACGTTGATAATGACTCCCTGGCTACCGCGTTTATCTCATTAATAGACTCCATTGGCTTCAGTCAGGGTGTACATGAACCCACTCACTGTTTTAACCATACCCTCGATCTAGTTCTGACGTATGGAATTGAAATTGATAACCTAAAAGTCTTTCCACAGAATCCCTTGCTATCAGATCATTATCTGATTACTTTTGATTTCTTTTTACTCGATTACACGCCACTCAGCAACAGTTACTATACTAGATGTTTATCAGATAGTGCTGTCACAAAATTTAAGGAAAAGATTACTTCGTCGTTAAATTCAATACCAATACCTTCAGTAACAGAGGTTTCCCGTGCCGACTTTAACCTCTCCCAAATTGATCATTTTGTTGATAGCGCCGTAGGCTCGCTGCGAACAACGCTCGACTCTGTAGCTCCTCTTAAAAAGAAGTTAACAAAGCAAAGAAAGTTTGCTCCTTGGTATAACTCTCAAACCCGTAGGTTAAAACAAATATCGCGAAAATTTGAAAGGAATTGGCGATTAACCAAACTGGAAGAATCTCGTTTAATCTGGACAGACAGTCTCAAAACTTATAAGAGGGGCCTCCGCAATGCCAGAGCAAACTATTACTCAGCATTAATAGAAGAAAACAAGAACAACCCCAGGTTTCTTTTCAGCACTGTAGCCAGGCTGACTGAGAGTCAAAGCTCTATTGAGCCTTGTATTCCTTTAGCCCTTAGCAGTAATGATTTTATGAGCTTTTTTAATGACAAAATTCTAACTATTAGA